GTATACTTTATTTAAAAGAGTAAAATAATTTAACGAGTGTGTAAAACTTACAAACATGGTTCTGGAATGCCTCTATCCTCCCCTTCCCACCTTTTGGGCTAAAATACCCCAACTCTATGGGATTTATGCTGCACAGATATGCGAAGCTTTTTTTGAACTTGTCCTTGAAACCAAGTTTCTGAAACCCAAGTTCACATTATAGGGTCTCTCAGAAATGAGGTGTTGGAGAGTGAGTGATCCCTCTGTTCTCACCTTAGTGGAAAGTAGGATGGCCACAAAGCTGGAAATACCCTTGGACTGCAACTAGGACGATCCTACTCTTCTGGCCTTATCTTAGAGGCGTGGGTGCCCCTCTTAGGTTAGATTTTATTTTTTAGATTAAATATGAAGAAACACTGATTTGTGGTCAGAATTGAAATGTGACTCAAGTGCGTGAATGTATATTTCCACTAGATCAAGCTTGTCCTATGGAGCAAGGGTAGGCAGGAAAATGAGAATTTCTAAGGACAAAAGTAGACAGGCAGGACCCAAGGTTTATATCTTCAAAGAAAGGACGTACATTTGGGCTTGGGCTTGTTCTCTCTTTTTAAAAAGTAAATAACTTATGCTTATAAATATTTCAATGCCAAAGTGTGTAAATATATAAAATGTGAATTCTGTAAATCATACCTACCAGCTCCACTATTAACATAAAGAACTCCCTCCCCACTATTAACATGTAAGGAATTAGGTATACATTCTTTCAGTGTCCATCCTCCACCCCCACCCCCACCCCCACCCCCACCTTTTTTTTTTTTTTTTTACTTAAGCATGTCTTAAGTCTTAAAAATATTGAAAAAATTAAACTGGGATCATGAAAAATTTCTGGGGTTTGCATTTTACTGTGCATGTTAGTGAATTTAGGAATCCTTTTTAAAACTTTTTGTAAATTACATACATTCACATATATTTGTTAAAATTGGACTTACTTATACATAAGTATGTTTCAAACATCAGTTGGACTGTGAGCGATTTCACTAGTACCAGATATTGATCAACCTGGTCTTGTTAATAGGTGTAGTCCTGATTTTTTGTGTGATCTTTTATGGTTTCAGTCAATTTTTCTTCCCTCTCCTACCCCCCCCCCCCCGACTCTGGTTGTATTTATCTCCTAAATGTCCATCTCTTATAATGTTAATTTCTTTTGCCTTTTTGCCATTTGATATTATGGAAGCTGCACTGATATGATTGTGATAGGAAATGTGAATACCTCATTTTTGTTTGCCATGTCAGTCACCAGAGGTGTCAGTAAGTACTCACTTACTGTATCCCATGAATACACAACGTTGTTCTGTAGATTTCTAAATAAATGCAAGAGTTATACAGCATACACTCTGTGACTGGAACTTTGCTACCCACTGCAAAAAAAAAAGTCTTCAAGTTCTAAAACATGCTTTGAAAGTTCTTATCTGTGAGGCCACTTGTGTGTTATAAAGAATGATTACTTGAAAAGAATGCTTTAAACACATAGCACATTCGAAAGCTTCTCTTGGAGTCTGTAGTTAATATGTTTAAGAAGGTGGGTAGATGGAGAGAAAGTCATAGGAGCACACCCCATGAGTTTTACTCATTAGAATGTTTCAAATGAGTAGCTAAATGCAGTTATTCACAAGTCATTAGAAAGTGAGAAATTGCCTTTCCCCATCCTGTGAATTTAAGAGAAACCTCACGAGGTTTCTGAACAGACAGAGGATGATCCCTAAGACCTTTTTCTAAACAAGTAAAACATATACAGAAAATGCCTGTTGTCTTTGCACACTGGTTTTTATCAGATGTGGCTGCTTACTGAAAAGTGCATGGTTATTCTCTGCAATGTACTGAAATGAACAAGCATTGTTTGTTGGTTTTAACTTTAATGTTTAGATTACTTAAAAGATAATGCCTGTTATTTATTAAAGGTAGGGTCTTTCCATTTCAAGACCTATTTTGGCCTTTCTATCCAGGAAAGCTTAAGACTGACACAATGACTTTACTTACTGAATTAGAGTTTATTCAATTAGAAGTCAGTCACTGAATGTGGCTTGTCTTTCCCACGGGGTGCTGGCAGTGCCATGTAAGAACACAAGATGTAACCGTGGCCTCGGTAGGAATGATATCATAGCGCTGAGTCAAGAAGGCTCTTGCTCTTTCTGTTCTAGCATTTATTCTTAAGTCTTGTTGGGGTAAAAATGAAATTGGAGGTACACCCCCTGAGTTCATTAGAGTCCCTTTGGGCTAGAGCTGTCGGCATGTCTTGAACTTCTCTGAGGCATGCTATGTCCTTGATTAAGAAGTGTGTTTCCCCATGTGCCTGATAAAGTAAACATCTGTGATGCTGAAGGCCTAGTGCCAGGCACATCTACATCCTTGGACACTGCTTGTAAATTAAAGGCTGCCCTGGAGGGTGATGAACTTGCCACAAAGTTCATTTGGCGTCTTTCGTTTACTATTTTGGGGAGGGAGGATTTTTTTCTGAGTATTTAATCATGGATATACATGTTAAGTTTTTCACTAACTGTAACTTTGTGAACGAGTTAAGCCTCCTTTCATTACAGAGGTCATTGCTTATTCTGCTTCCTTCCCTGACTGTAAGCTCCCTGTGGTCAGAAACCATGTCTGTCTTCTGTGATTCCATAGACACAGCACAACAAAACCCCGAGTGCTTTGTTATCTAATAGCTCAGATAAAAAGTGTGGTGGTGAAAAGAAAAGGAAACTGAAATGTTTTCAGACATACACATGATTCTAGGTTCCGATTACCTAGAACTTATAGAAAAGCATGAATTACATGCTCAAGAAGAGTTATTTTCCAATTCATTATTCATGACTTTCTTTAAAAAAAAAAATCTGGCTTAAAGAACTTTGGTTGATCTCTAATTCCCCTTCCCATCCTCCTATGTCTTCCCTCTGAGGTTTGATGGTCTGTTTGATGCTTCTTTGTCTCTGAATCTATTTTTGTTCATCAGTTTATGTTGTTCATTATCTTCCACAAATGAGTGAGATCATGTGATATTTATCTTCCTCTGACTGTCTTATTTCACTTAGCATAATGCTCTCTGGGTCCATCCATGCTGTTGTAAATGGTAGGAGTTGTAAATGGTAGGAGTTCCTTCCTTTTTTACAGCAGCGTAGTATTTCATAGATGTACCACAGTTTTTTAATCCACTCATCTGCTGATGGGCACTTAGACTGTTTCCAAATCTCAGCTATGGTGAATTGTGCTGCTAGGGTGCATATATGATTTCTGATTGTTTCTGATTTCTTGGGATATATTCCTAGAAGTGGGATTACTGGGTCAAAAGGCATTTTTAGTTTTTTGAGCAAACTCCATACTGTTTTCCACAGTGGCTGCACTAGTCTGCATTCCCACCAGCAGTGTACGAGGGGTGGCATGCCATTTTACCATGGACTGTCCTGGATCAGTGAGATGATCTTTGCTTGCTGATTTGCACTTTACAACCAGAGCTAATGGGAAGTGTTAGTATTCTGGAAACTATTCTCCCTATTTCTTACTGGGGGTAGAGGGGATGAGGGAAGAGTGACTCACATTTATATATGTTATAATAATAATTGAGCATTGAATTTTTAAGTAGCCATATGGTTTCTAATGAGGAGCTCAATCATATGGTATCAGCCTGAGTAGAGAGAGGAATAGAAAATATGGGGTAAAGCCAAACCCACAGAAACAGAGCAGAATGGTGGTTACCAGGGGCAGGTGCGGGGAGTGATGAGGGAAGTGGAGAGATGTTCAGCAAAGGGCACGCACGAACTTTCAGTTAGAAGTTGAGTAAGTTTTGGGAATCTAACGCACAGCATTGTGATTATAATTAACGGTGCTGTATTATATACTTAAAAGTTGCTGAGAGGAAGATATTAAATGTTTTCGCCACAAAGAGAAATAGTAATTATATGATGTAAACGGAGGCTTTAGTTAATGCTGTGATAGTAATCATTTTGCAGTATATAAGTATAGCAAATTAACATCTTGGGCTTATGCTATATGGGCTATATGTCAGTTACCTTTCAATAGAGCTGGGATAGAGGGACAAAAGGCACACAAAACACACTAAAGTAAATAAGTAGGAACAAAATTTATGGTGGTGATAATTCAGTGGTTACTCCTTGCCAATTGATTGAAGACCAAGTTTCTGAGCCCAAGTGACTTTTAATGTCCTCTGTGGTTTGATCCTATCTGTTCAATTTTTCCCACCTTTCTTCCAGAATGCACTGTGCTATCCCCTCTTTATTGCCCCGGTTAGTGCTTTTCTCTGCACCATTCCATCTCACCTTTTATATCTATGTGGTAAGATCCTACCTATCCTTTAAGTTCCCACTCGGATGCGAACATGTTTTCTCTGATCCTCCCCGCTGGCAGTGTGTCCTCTGTGAGCTGTATTTTAGCTGACATTAAGTACAGAGTTTGTACCCTGGGCCTTACAGATATAGATCACTGGGGTCTGCCCTTCAGTCTTGGAACTGGGAAGGGCCGAGTTAGGCATTCTGGCTACTGTTTGGATGTATTTTGTAAACTTTCCCACTTACTAAAATCACTGTAATTATCAATGCAAGTGAGAGAAGCAAACGTATTGATTTTATTTTGGAGCCACATTCTATGTTCGTTTGCTTGGAGCAGAGGAGTGGCAGACTTTCAGTCTTTATGACTTTTTAATTTTATTTTAAAGCTAACACTTTAATTATATGGACCCTCTCTTCCCCTCACATTTTTAGGACCAGGCAATTGCTAGTTGGGGAGGAAGTCAATTTGTGGATTTAAGTCAGCTATAGGTGGTTCACTTTGAATAATCAACATAGAAGAGTTGACTTAATGGCATCTTAACATTAGAGTACTCTTGCATCATGGAAAGAATGAAAATTAGGGAGGATTTATGGAATATTTGGGGGGAAAAAAGTGTTTTTGAAGTTTCAATGAGAGCTGTTATCTGGATTCTACTCCATTGATCTCTTCTCATGTTTCTTTTCCAGGTCCGGACCCTATTTGTCAGTGGCCTGCCCCTGGACATCAAACCTCGGGAGCTCTACCTGCTTTTCAGACCATTTAAGGTACCTTTTCTATCAGAAATTGTAAAGGAAACATGTGTTCCTAGGGTCTCTTTGGAGGAAGAAATGAAATGGTAGAGAAAGTACCCTATAAAGGTGATATTTTTAAAAGGTTAATGAGCAATGGGAATTTAACATCTCAGCCCTACTGTCCAGTGTCACTTACGAAAGATGGAAGTGGTCTTTTGTCCTTCCAGTAGCTAATCTAGACAAGTGTCTCCTCTCACTGATGTGGGCATGTTTCTGTCTCTTCCACGTAGAACAGCCTTAGTGTCCTCTGGCAATTGGGGATATTTTTCTAGGTATAGATCACCCAAAATATTACCAATTGCTCATGTATTTATATTTCAAATGCAAGAATATAAATCAAGTCCTTTCCCTAGGAGATAATTAGTTGAATAGTTGTATTGGTACTATTATAGTCTTTGGAGGCAGAACTAGGCTTTTAAGAATTAGACTAGGAACCTAATACCATATTTGTTTCATGAGAAAAATATTGTAAGCTTCAAATAAAGTAAAAACAATATTGTAAAGTGTTGCTTGGCATAAGGGGAAGCTTTCCTGGTGCTTCACAAAATATTTAATGCAGTGTGACTATTGAGATATGACTACGTTGGAGATACTGAATGAATCTGGAATTGAAAACTTAACAGGAAGTCAGACTAAAGCTGAAGTAACCATGCATGCTGCCTAGGCCAAACCTTGAAGGTTAGCCTGTGGTGGGTTGGAAAAGGCTGGACTGGGCAAATTGTGGGCTGGAGGCCGTGGCCCTCAAGGTGTGAACCTGGAAGTCACAGTAACCTGTGTCTGAGCTGGATGTTGAGGACATGTCAGCCAATGATGCCAGCTGGGGCCATACTTATGCTTAGGCAATGGACCATCTTGATTTTTGGTTAAAGTCCATCCCACTTGAAGCAGGAGCCCAGCCAAGACAGGTTGAGGAAAAGTATCTAGCTTTTTAGGGAGAGGGAACAGGATGTAAAGCTGAAAACAGCTGCGTTAGGAAAGGAAGAAAGAGGTTCGGGAGGGCAGCCAGTTAAAACCAACAAAGATAAAATAGAGTCTAGTTTAGGTGCCAAGAAGGCACCATACCACGACATAATTCCATTCTGACAGAGACCCCCTCAGTGCAGCGATTTTTCCGCCCTTTTCATCTCCTGGCACACATAAACTAATGACTAAAATTCTGTGGCACACCAAAATATATTTTTTGCTGATCTGACAAAAAATGTATAATTTTGACTTATTAAGACCGGGAAGCTATTGTTGTTTTGGCTGTTGTCTTTTTTTTTTTTTTTTAAACAATCTAAGGGAAAAGAGGTTAGTACTCCTGACTGAATAGGCAGGTATTACATGTTTTAAAAATTCTGACAGTTAGAAATCACTGTCTTAATGCAGTAATAATGTTGACTGCAGAAGAAAGAGAAAGCTTAAACATGAGGTTAGCTGAGAGGAAGTGGGGAAGAAAGAGAAGATGTTATGGGAAGAGTGCCAATTTGATAGAACTTCCTGGCTTCCTTCTTCAGGGTTGCTATATATTTTATTGATTTTATTGATTTTTTTTTTTTTTTACAGAGAGGAAGAGAGAGGGATAGAGAGTTAGAAACATCGTTGAGAGAGAATCATCGATCAGTAGCCTCTTGCACACCCCCTACTGGGGATGTGCCCGCTACCAAGGTACATGCCCTTGGCCAGAATCAAACTTAGGACCTTTCAGTCCGCAGGCCGATGCTCTATCCACTGAGCCAAACCGTTTTCGGCTAATTGATCTTCTTAATGGACAAAATACTATTGTGTTTATGTATGTGGAGAGAGAGATTCAACTAGCAAGCCCCTTATATAAATTATCTCATTTAATTCTCATTACAATCCTTTAAAGTGGGTTGGCCTCATTTATTCAAATGAGGAAAATGAAAATTTAAGCAGTTAAATAAATTTTGCTCAAGTTTATACACACAGTAAATGACAGGGTCAAGATTCGAACCCCAGCAGCCTGACTGCCATCCCTGCTCTGAACTACTGTGTGATGCTAATTCTCTTCTTGTGACTGAGAGCGCAAGATAGTCCTGCCAGTGGTTTGTACTTGAGTGAAATATTCGTTTGTCCTTTGCCGCTGAGGCCTTCAGGGTGTTTAAACTCTGGGTTTTTCAGAGAAAGCACCTTGAACAAGGAAGAGGCAGGGCTGTGAATCATGACCTCTTTGTCCAGAAGAGCTCAAGGCCTTGGAGGTAAAATGTTTACAGTAGCTAATTGGTCACACAGTTCTATGCTAGGAAGATGTGAGGATGAATCAGTCCCAGCATTCTGCCCAGAAATGCTTCCCCAAAGTCAGGACCCTGCTACATTCCTAACAGCCCTCTTTTAATTAAAATCCCTGAAGGTTAACCCTGGTCTGCAGATCTGTCTCTGTACTGATGTGTGCGGTGGTCAATCATGTCAAGTGGTGTTTTTCTTCCTCTGTGTCATCCGTCAGTGCAAGCCACCCGCTATTGATTATTTTCAGAACTAAACACACTTTGTTGTCCTTATCCTGAGAAGCCAGGGAGGGGTGAGAGGAGTTTTTGAAGGGGAGTGTTTCTATCTTCCTTGAAGATGAGCTCAAGCAAAAACCCAGTAGGGCATTTTTGTATGTCCCAATCAGAATACCAGTATGAAAATTGGCTGATTTCAATAAATAAGCAAAAGAACTGGAAAAGAAATTTTAAAAAACCTCAACTAAATTTAGCATCACTACTTGCTTCGCCTTTCCTGGCAGTTTTGAAATTTTGATGAGTAGGTTCTACCTAATGCATTCTTTTTTTTAAAAAAAAAAATTATTTTTATTTTTTCAGTTAGAGTTCATGTACAATATTAGTTTCAAGTGTACAACCATGTTCATTAGACATTTATATAACTTAGAACGTGATCACCAAAATATAGTGCATTCTTTTTTTTTTTTTTTTTTAAATATATTTTTATTGATTTTGTACAGAGAGAAGGGAGAGAGATAGAGAGTTAGAAACATCGATGAGAGAGAGTCATCGATCAGCTGCCTCTTGCACATCCCCTACTGGGGATATGCCCGCAACCAAGGTACATGCCCTTGACCGGAATCGAACCTGGGACCTTTCAGACGCTCTATCCATTGAGCCAAACCGGTTTCGGCTATAGTGCATTCTTAATGTTTAATTGTTACTTTATAGCAAATATATATCTAAGTTATCACATACTCTTACCTTCCGATCTTATTAAATTTACCTCCTTCCCTCTCCTAGTTCTATAAAGCAAAGAGATCTGCTATACACAGACACCAGTTCCCTGCCATTGCATAATTTCATGGGGAAAGAAACATAAAAATGCATGAATTTCAGGGTTTGGTTTCTTTTAGCCTCCAAGTCTGCAAACAGATATATGTACACATGGGTGTGAGCATATGTGCCTGTGTGTAGTTTGCTTTCCTGATTAATTTAAAAGGCATTTGTGAGAGAGGTAGTCAATAGTCATAAAGGATAAAGAACTTATTTTTAATTGAGAAGATGCTATTATAATTCCCCTACCACCCCCTTTCTCCCTCCCCCCCCACCCCCTTTTTTTGTCTAAATGTGGTTCTTTTTTATTTTCAGGGCTATGAGGGTTCTCTTATAAAGCTCACATCTAAACAGGTAAGAATTTCAAACTTGGATATTCATGGTCACTTCTACAATAAGTTTGAATTGACTTTCTTCAGGAATATTACGAGGGCTCAACATTCTTTATTCCCATTAGGATTTTATTTTGTTGCTGTAGCTTTAAAAGATAGAGGGATACTGGTTAGGAATTAGCACAGGAAAATGGCTTGTAATTCCATAGTCTTCAGCTAGGATGTCTGGGACTAACCCCAAGGAAGACAACTATAATGCATCCAGCCTAGTTAGATTGGGGTTTATTTGTATATTCAAAAGTAATTATTATCCACATTCACTTTTATTCCCAATTCTTTCCTGTTTTTTTGTGTGTGTGTTTTTAATAAGGTTAAACAGGCAGCCTTTCACAATCGGTATGAGTATCTGGTGATGAAGAATCATGTTCTCTCTCAAACCCCGAATGGAGGTGGTAATCAGTAACCCTGGTAGTTCCTGCGAACTTCTTAAAATTTTCAGCTGTATGCTTTTCCCCTCTAATGCTGAGCACTCAGCATGCTCACCTCCCAATCACTTTTTGACACTCAGTGGGGTTTTCTCTGGTTCATCAGGAATAAGCTATGTTGCAAGTATCCTTCTGGACTAAAAGATACGGAGTCCAAAGGGATTATGACCCCTTTCTCTTCAGTTGGAACATTGTGGGATTTGCCATGGAAATCTTCATCTGTAATTTTGATCACGCAGTGGGAGTACGAGATTTTATCATTGTGTCATTGTAGTCCTTGCACTGACTGTGAACCAGAAGGTGATTTGGTTCTCTTTCTACTTAAAAAGATGAAGAAACTGAAGGACATTGAATTAATTGAGAAAAGTAGAATCTCTTGACCCAAGTTTTCCTCTATTCCCTTGTTCACTGCTGCTCACCTACCAACCCCTTCTAGATTATTTTATGATTCTCTAACACCCCAGCTATATGCCCTTAAAGAACCACACTCACAATCCCTTTGATTCGTGTTAGAAATTTAGCTAAACCACTGAGTCATGATTCTTCTGGACTGGCTTTCTTATTTCCACACAAATGCCTGTGGTCATTTCTTTTTCTTAGCTCTTCACTTTGACATCACCTTTGACTCAGAAAAGTAGATATCCCCTGATTTTTTTTTTCCCTTCATATTTCTTTTTCTTTCCTCAGCCTGTAGGTTTTGTGAGTTTTGACAGTCGCTCGGAAGCAGAAGCTGCGAAGAATGCTTTGAATGTGAGTATTCCTGTAATCATTGGGGAGTTTCCTTATGAGGTGGTGGGAAATAGTAGAATCTCAAATGGAAGGAATATGACTTCACAATCCAACAGGAAAGGATGCATCAATTTAATGAGTCCTCTAAAAAGATTTTTTCCCCCTAGAATTGTGGTCAGATGTGCAAACTATTCAGTAACTTTGCTCTACTCTAGCTTTTGCTATAAGGCTCAAAATACCTGATAATGTCTTATTTTAGTTTAGTCATATCCCATGGGGGTGTTCAGCTTAGTTTGGCCATCACTGTGCTCTCAAAGGTAAGCCTAACCCAAGAAAACATTTAAAAAAATAAAAAATTGGCTTTTCTTATTTCATGAGGTTTTATTTTAGGTATTTATAAATGGATTTTTATTTTTAAACAGGTCATTGTCATTATCCTGACTGATGAAAAACTTATATATGTGGCTTTCCTGAGAGGCACACTGCATTGGGATATAAGTGAAAATAAACTGTAATTGAATAGACATAGCTATATTTGGTTTGTTAGGTATCTTGTCTGCCATATGTTACGAAGCATTTCTCAGTTTTACCTTAGTAAATACTTTCCCCCTTTGGTATGTCAAAAAACAAAACAACTTAAGGGAACCAAGCTGAGAGAATGTGGAAAGAAGCCAATTTAATTTGGTCCAGATGCTGAGAGCAGACCCTCAGGTGAGGAATCTCAGTGAAAAGCTTGGCTCCATCCTGCTCCGGGCAGTTGGCCTAAGCAGCTGTGGATGAGGGTTGATTAATGTGGCCAGAAGTGTCCAGGGTGCTTCTTAAAAGGAAACTGGTAACTTAACTAGTTGTTCTCTGGGTGTCATGGTGAAACTTCTGTGAGCTTATCACTGGCCTCTGTTTTTGCTTTCGAGTCTACCAATACCCCTGTCAGTTGCTCTCCTGAGCTCCTGGATGCTAAGACAAACCATGCTGAGGACGAGCTGTAGAAAAGACCTGATGTCCCATTGACTTGGTGGCCCAAGAGAAAGGGGGTCAACATAACAGTGTCATTGTGGCACAATCTTGAGAGGTTTTGGGCTTTGGGGAAAAATTAATACAGCCCCAGAAGAAATAATTTGCTTGTTATTGTTGGACTTTCATGAAAACATACAGGAATGTCTTCGGTATCCAAGAGTTCCAAAGAGCTTAGAATTTTTCTGGATTTGGATAAATGACCTCCTGGTTAAAACAATGGCTCGCTTACCCTGTCCTCTCCCGTAGAACAAAATGTAAACCAGTTATTTATTGAGTACCAGTGGTACACACTAAAGCAAAATGGATAGCTGGATATTTTTACTTAAAAATTATTTCGTGATTTTTCTATTATCTAGATGCAACCAGAATTTTCTCATAAAAAGAAATTTTAAACTTGAAAATTAAACCGCAGTTTCTATGTAAGCAGCATTTTCTTACATTCTAACCAGGTGACATCTTTCTATATTCAGAAATATTTTAGGTTCTTCAAAGTTATGTAAGATGACATTTTAACCAGGTTCTTTTCATTGTTCTTACAAAGGAAGTAACAGCAGTTGAAACTTGCTCAAAGAATGAAGTCTACATTGCCTTCCTTTATCTTTGCTAGGTATATGAAGGTGTCACTGACCTACTGTCTGAAACACAGCAGGCTTTTATAGTTAGTTACCTCTCTCTTCTGATTTAAGGCAACATTCTCTTATGAGCTAGGTTATTAAATGGACATAGTCATGTGACTTCTTGCCTTCTAAACAAAGTATAGCAATATAAATTCAAATTTTCTTGGTGCCTGAAGGTTATATAGTTTAAAATAACAGGTATTGAGCTATGCTGTAACATAATGATAGAGATATTTACGTCCACCCCTATGCCAAATGGCTCCAGTTCATTTGCTTTCTTGTCCTGAGGTCTGGTATGAGGTTCTTCATGTGCTCAGCTCTTCTTTTTCACTGGCAACAAGTCTTCCTCTAGCAGCATCCTCTCGCTAATCATTAATTTTGTTTATTGCTCATATATTAATAACTTGGAAAGAACTCCAAGCAAAGCAGGTCTAATTCTGTCCTGTTCTGTGGACTTTAGGGTTACTGTTAATATTTACCTGAGGAGTATTAAACCTTAGCTTTCTTCTGCTTAGAAGCTGTCTTGTGAGTATAGGGCATATATTGAGCTCCTAGTTGACCTCTTTCTCAGTGTTTTAAACTTTTAAGCATAGAATATTAGAAGTCTTTGTACCTTAGAAATCACCTTATTGTTACAGTTGGGGGAACAGACCTAGAGAGAATGGCTGCTACCAATAGAAGTAGGCCTCTTGTATCTTAGTCCTGGTGGCATTGACAGGCTGTTTAATTCATGCTATGTAGGACAAATGGTCGTGGTCATGTTTGATGTGTGACTATGGAGCAAGGTGACTTCTCTTTAAAGAGAGAATGGGCTCATCTACATATATAAAAGCCTAAGTGACTGTTCAACTGGTAGCTATGACATGCACTGACCACCAGGGAGCAGATGCTCAATGCACAGGCATGGAAACATGGAACAGACTGATGAATCTCAGAGGGAAGAGGGAAGGGGGAAGGGTGGGAAGAGATTAACCAAAGATCTTATATGCATACTAGAGGCCTAGTGCACAAATGCTCCAGTGGGGACCCTCAGTCTGGCCTGCAGGGATTAGGCCAAAACTAGCCCAGTGCACATGCACTAGTGGGATCCCTCACCCTGGCCTGCAGGGATTGGGCCGAAATTGGCAGTCTGACATCCCTTGAGGGGATTGTAAGAGGGCACAGGCCAGGCCGAGGGACCCCACAAATCCGTGCACTGGGCCTCTAGTTTAGGATAATATACTGTATCATGAAAATGACACATCTCTATGGCCCAATATATCATGCTTGACCCTTTTCAGGGTCATCTTTTCTAATTAGTGAATTAAAAACATATGATGCTAATAGCTATTATATTTTCTCCTTGTGTATTTTGTCCAGGCAGTTCTCTTAAATGCTTTTCCTCAAATTTCTTTGGGGAAATTTTATTTTGTAATGTTTTCTTTGTCCTATTAAGAAACTTAAACTTTGCCAAAACCGGTTTGGCTCAGTGGATAGAGCATTGGCTTGTGGACTCAAGGGTCCCAGGTTTGATTCCGGTCAAGGGCATGTACCTTGGTTGCAGGCACATCCCCAGTAGGAGGTGTGCAAGAGGCTACTGATCAATGATTCTCTCTCATCGATGTTTCTAATTCTCTATTCCTCTCTCTTCTTCTCTGTGAAAAATCAATAAAATATATATTTTTAAAAAACAAAGTGTCACAATTAAAAAAGAAAAGAAAAAAGAAAGAAACTTAAACTTCAATTCAGTAAATCCCTCTATATGGAATAGTTCATAGTGTTATGAACTACTTCTCCATGTGGAGAGATTATTTTCTTGTTATGATTTCTGTCTTGGTTACTCTCTGATTCAATTATTAGTATTAGTAATTAGCCTTTTCCCATAATGACTGTTTTTTTTAATCCATTTATTTTATTCCATTTTTGTATTATGCTCCAGTCAATTTAATAATTTTATGGAAAAGCTCCAATTGAATTGATTGGCAACATTGCACTTATATCAGGGGATAACTCCTATCTTTTAAATTATTTTGTTTTTATAGCAAAAATTCCCAAATTAAGCTAAAAATAACCCAAACCCAGGCTTTCCTTCAGGTTATCTGTGTTCCCATTAATCCTCATGATTAGAAACCCTGTTTGTTTTTTAAACTGGCAGCAAAGTATCTGACCTATTCTTCATCCTCCACACACATTAGTAATTTCTGTACCAGCAGTTTTCCATTTTCCATACTAATAGAAGGGGGAGATGAAAACCTAAAGTATTTTTTAAATATATATATATTAATATGTTTTATTGATTTTTTACAGAGAGGAAGGGAGATAGTTTGAATCATCGATAAGAGAGAAACATCGATCAGCTGCCTCCTGCATACCCCCTACTGGGGATGTGCCCTCAACCAAGGAACATGCCCTTGCCAGGCTGACGCTCTATCCACTGAGCCAAACTGGTTTCGGCAGTATTTAACTATTTTTATGATTTGTTTAAAATTTGGGAAGGTAGATTAAGTACAGAGTTATCCTGGTGAGTAAAAATTTGATTTTTGGAAATTCTAAGATGAAACACAGGAAGCAGCGTAGGTCTAAGGATAAAGACCCCGAGCAGAAGTGAGATTAAGTCATTTCTGGCTATTCCTACCAATTGTAAAGACCCCATTATTGCTGCTGTTGCCTAGGTGACACTGTGTCTGACTATGAATAAAAATGATTAGTAGTTAGCACTTCGGATCAGCAGGCTCATTGTACTCCTTGCTATGTACAGTTCCTTAATGAGCATCCTCTTACACCGGTACTTGGAAATTGCTCATCTGAAGTACTTGAAAAGATTGTGTGTAAATTCTTGTGTATATGTGCCAATTGTTTTATATCTCTCCTCCCCTATTTCTAAATAGCTATTATGGGGGGGTAGGTATTATATTAGGACTAGAGAAGTCTGATGTTATCAAACTATGTACTGCAAATTGTCTTAACTAAACATTGCTTAGGCTAGCAGTACTTTGCTTTACTCTCAAACTAGACTCATTGATCTAAGTCAGCAATTTTTCAACCCTTTTCAACTCATGGCACACCTAAACTAATTACTTAAATTGTGCAGCAAACCAACAAAAAAAAAAATTTTTTGTTTTTTGTTTTTTTGTTGATCTGACAAAAAAAAAGATATAATTTTGATTTGTTCATATTGGCTGTTGTCATTTTTATATTTGACAATCTAAGGGGAAAGAGGTCAGTGCTCCTGACTTAATAGTCAGGTATTACATGTTTTAAAAATTCTTACAGAACATCAATGGAAAAGCATTGATCTAAGTCATCTCTAGTTATCATTGCACCCCAAATCCATTGATTGCATTGACTCTCATACTATATAATTTGCCCTTTAAATTTTTTTTTTCACTTACAGTTGACATTCAATATTAT